ACCCTGGTCCTCCCAGGAGCAGGAGGGTCCCAGCAGCTGCGGGGGGTCTGTGGGGAGCGAGGAGAAGGGTCAGCGCTGCCTCTAATCTCCCCAGAACCCAGCTGTCCTGCCCCCCTGGGGTCTCCCCACTCACAGACCACGGAGAGGCTGAGAGAGACGCTGTGGGAGCCCAGCGGGTGCCGAGCTTGGCAGGTGAACTCTCCTTCCTGTGCAGGCCCCACGCGAGGCAGCTCCAGGATCGCGGTGCTGGAGATGGGGGTGGCGTTCAGGCCTGGGGACCCCCGGAACCAGCTCAGCTCGGCAGGGGGGTTGCTGTCTGCCTCACAGCACAGCCTCAGGACCTCTCCCTCCAGGATGGAAAGGGATGTGGTTTGCAGATTCTTAAAGGCTTCGGGGAGAACGATTATAGGAGGGTGGAGGGTTGGAGAGAGAGAGAGAGAGATGTGTGTGGAGCACAGATGCAGGCACCCACCCACCAGAGGTGAGGGACTGGGGTGATGCCTTTCATCCTTGCCCTTCCCATGTCTCATCCCATTCAAACTCCTGCTCCCCCCTCTGCCCCACCAGGGCCCGGGGGCAGGTCCCAGCCCAGAGAGGAGGGGTTCTTTCCTACCTGTGTCGTTTCTGAAGGAGACGCCCAAGGTGAGTTTCCGAGGGGCATCTGGGATAGAAAGACAGGGCCCCACTTCAGATGGAAGTCACCCCAACCCCAAGCAGGGGCGGTGGGAACACTCCCCACCTACAGGCACATCCATGCCCAGGTGTTCTCAGGTTAGCTCAGCCTCCTGCACACACACACACACACACAGACACACACACACACACACACACATCGCTCACACTACCTCTAGGGACCCAGCCGAGACATTGAGCCGGATGGTGGTCTGTGTGGTCCACCGGGATCCTTCCCATTTCACCTGACAGGTGAGGCTGGTGCCATGGTCCTGGGGCCTCGGGGTGAAGGTGAGCACCGAGGAGCGGCGGGTCTGGGGGTTCAGCGAGTCCACAGCGGCTCCCGCCCAGGAGAAGGAGAAACGTTGTCCCACTTCGCAGGCCTCTGTCAAGCTGCAGGCCAGCTGTGTGGGGCAGCCGGACTCCAGAGGCTCCCGTACACGGATGTGGGGTTTCTCTGTCAGGGCTGCAGGGGAGAAAGGCAGGTGCCTGGGCTCCAGGGGTGGGGACTCAGAGCGGGACCCTGAGAGAGGCCCTGCCTGGTGCTGAGCTCACCCAGGCTCTGTGTCTCTTCCCACCACCCAGGGCCCACGGCCTGGACAGGGAGTGTCCAGTGTCCTGTTCCTGCTCTTTGACGGGGTCCCATGCCCCTGGGTCCTCTCCTGGGACCCTGCCGTACCTGCCACCTGCAAATCCAGCATCTTATATTTGTAATTATATCCTTGGAACTTATATCCTTGTACTTTTCCTTGGTGATTATATGCAGGATTTCCTATCTCCACTCGGAAGAAGTAGCGTCCTCTGTCACTCCTCCTGGCGTCTCTGATTTGCAGGGAACAGTTGTTGGTCCTGGGGTCCGCGAGGAGGAAGCGGCCTTTGGTCTCTGTCTTCACTTGTTTATCTTGGTTGCTTGAGGCCACAGGACGTTTTGTCTTGTCCCCGTCCCGGTACCAGTAGGTGTTGACTTTGGTAGAGGAAGACCACGAACTCCATGGGTAGAAAGAGCAGGGCACGTGGACACACAGACCCTCCTGCACCGTCACCGATTTCTGCACTAGGAGCTCATAGCCTGGATGCTGCTGCTGCAGGGACCCTGGGGGAGGGGGACACAGCTCAGATGCAGCTCTTACCCCTCCTCCACCTGCCCTGCCCCCCTCCATCAGCCCACTCACCCCCCCCCTCCACAGCAGGGGCAGCAGCAGCAGGGGCACCATGTCTGCCTCTGGCAGGGCAGAGCGGGTCCAGGTCCCTGTGTCAGGGAGCGAAGTGCCCAGCTCTGGGGTGGGGCCTAGGTCACCCCAACAGGAAGCCCTGGGGGAGAGACTGTGGCCAGGCTGGAAGGGGAACTTGGCCTCCACAGGAAGTGGGAGGGGGTGGTGGCTGAGAAATCATCCTGTCTCCCTCCCGTCTCCCATCCAACCCTGCGGGTGGATATGCTGTGGCCCCCAGGGGTTGAGAGGCATGTCCAGATGTGAATCTGAAAGTAATCACCTTGCAGATGATGTGTAAGTGGAGAGGGAGGTCACCCAGGGGGCCACTGGGGTCAGAGCTGGACTTGGGGGAGACCCACCCTTAGGCTGAAACCACTGATCGGTCTAGAAAAGGATAACTTTACATTTTCTTTAGACAGCTCAAGTGATGGCAAGAGAAAAAGCAATTTAGACTCAACTCCAGTTGGGGGGTGGAACCCCAGCGAAAACTTGAGCATTCAAGCCCTTTGCTCTGAGATTTGTGGAGACATGGGAAGCACACGTGTGGGTCTTCCAGGGTCTGAGGGACCTGGGACAGTGACAGCACACAGGCCCCATCAGAAGGCGATGTGTGAAGGGAGATCTCACCCCATTCGGAGGGACCCAGAGGTGGCCTGGTTCCCAGGTACAGAGGAATTTGCTTTCTAAAACCAGTAAGATCACAATCAATGGGATATTCACATTACAATCAATAAGGCGTTCAATCGAATGGGATGATTTATATAATTCAGAAAATCAAAATAACTTTTCAATTATTAAGCCAAACAGCAGGGTTAGAGTTAAACTACAGTTTCTACCTGAGATGATTACTACCGTACTGCACTCCAGCTGAAACTGTTGAACATTCTGAAAAATGATAATTTTAATATTTTTTTAGACCAAGTGGGAGCAAAGGAGAGGAATTTAGACCCAAGTCCAGTGGAGGGTGGAACCCAGGGGCAGAGCTGAGTGGTAAAGGCCTGGCTCTGAGGGCTTCTTGGGGACGTGGGACGCACCTGTGTTGGCTCGAGGGTCTGAGTGTCTGAGGGACAGCGAGGGCGCACAAGCCCCATCGGAAACGGACGCCCCATTTGGCGGGACCTCAGCACAGCAGCAGCGCTGCCGCCTGAAAGTTCATGAAAATCCACCTTCCTGGCCCCTCATCGCTGGGTCCCTGTTCACAGCCCCACCCAGGCTGATGGGAAGGCTCCCTTTCTGCTCCATCTGTGTCCCAACCCGGCATCACAAACCCTGACATTCCATTCCCGCTGCTGGAGCACATAGTGGGGCTTCTGTGTGCCTCGCTGCCCTTGCCTGATGGAATCTCAAGGGAGGAACCAGTGAGCGCAGGGGGATGTCAAAGGCCTTCAGGATAACATCACAGTCAGCTCGGGATGCAGGAGGCTCCCCTGGCGGGATAGGGGGTGAGCTCAGCAAGCTCCACACCTAACGCAGCAGCACCGGGTCCGAGTCCAGCAAGGCAAGAGCAATAAGTAAAAGCTATGGAAATTCCAAAGAAAATCAAGCTGACTTTCTCCATCAAGGATTGTGTCTATATAGGAAAATCCACACGTACATACAGATACATGTAGGGGCTTGAGAAGAGAGTCAGCAAGGTTTCTAGAGACAAAATCACATTGCAAAACTCAAATGCATCCGTATAGCACAGCGACCAACAAAAAACAGCATGGTATAAAAGATGTCATGGACACATCAAAACTGACGATGTTCCTGGGACATTCAGAGATGCACATCACAAAAATACACTATGCGGTACCTCAACGGAGGAAATGATACATCTGTTTGGAAGGATTTTACAGGTGGAAATAGATAGCCCTGGCCGGATGGCTCTGTTGGTGGAAGCATCCTCCCTACAGCACATTGGTTGCAGGTTCAATTCCAGCATTGAGCATCTGCCCCCTGGTGGTCAGTGTGTGTCAGATTGACCAGTCATTCCCAGTCGTTCTGCTGTTAGGGTCAGTTTGCATATTACCCTTTTATGATATAAGATAGAGGCCTGGTGCATGGGTGGGGGCTGGCTGGTTGGCCCTGAAGGGTGTCCTTGATCAGGGTGGGGGTCCCACTGGGGTGCCTGGCCAGCCTAGGTGAGGGGTGATGGGGGTTTGCAGGCTGGTCACACCCCCCTCATGGTGGGGGTTCCCACTGGGGTGCCTGGCCAGCCTGGGTGAGGGGCTGATGGCTTTTTTTTATCAAGCCCCCCAGTGGGGACCCTCACCCCATGGAGGTTTGGCCAGCCTGGGTGAGGGGCTGATGGCTGTCTTCAGGCTGACCACACACCCTTTAGAGTGGGGGGTCCCCACTGGGTTGCCTGGACAGTCTGGGTGAGGGGCTGAGGGCCCTTTTCAAGCTGGCCAAGCTCACACAGCCACGGAAGCTCCCAGCCTCTCCTTTTTCTTTTCTTTTTTTTTATTCTGGAATTTATTTCCCTTCTATAATTGAAACTTTGTGAGAGCCGTGCTCCTAACTCTACTGTGTATCAATGTCTACAGTTTGGGAGACCAGAAACTCAGTTGGTAACCAGGTAACTTCTGGGCAAGGGGAGGATAAGGTGCCAACTTCAGTCCCTTTCTGAGACTGAGGATGGAGAGAGGAGAGCAGAAGGTTGGGGGATGAGTGGGCAGAACAGAGAGAGAGGGAGAGAGAGAGGGAGAGAGAGAAACTCAAATGGGAGAAGCACAGGCAGAAATGAGGGAGCCGTCAGTGGGTGTGTATTACTGTTTATTTCTGTATCTTAGGATGTTTTGAGCCATTAAACAGATTGGAAGCCAAGGAGACACAGGGCCTCCCAGGGCGGCCCATTCTCAGAGACAGCAAAGAATTTCAGATGCAAACCAACCCAACCTGAGCCCATATTGCCAGCCTCCCCACCTGCCCCAAATCACCCAGGACCTGGGACCAGACAAAGAGAGACCACGCCCACAGGCCCATCCCCCAGACTGACACACACCAGCTGGTCCTGAAGGGCTCACCCTGCCCTGCCCTGCGTTTCCCATGGGAACCCAATCAAGGCCTTCGCTAGGCTGCCCTGCACCTGCATCTGCTTCCTGAGGAAATCCGGGGCTTCCTGGGCACAGCGGCCCCTCCTCTCAGGAGGTGAAAGGAGTAAATGTCTTCTCTCCATGGCATTGACTCCCCTTGGCGTCACTCAGTCACTTCCACACACTGAAACCCCAGGGGCACATTGGAGGCAGGTGAGTCAAGAGCTTCCAGGGAGAAGGTAACGTTGATGTCCCAGGACGGTCCCTCTAGCCTGGTGTCCGCACCTCAGTCCCATCTTGAGAGGAAGGGAGGATCCATCAGGAGCTCTGCCTCCTGTTCCGGGGGCCTCCACACCTGCGGGGCCCACACAGGTGTCAGCTCAGAGACTCGGCCACTTTGGCTCTAACTCCAGGCAGAGCCGGACAGGGCGGCCCCACCTGGACCTCAGGGCCAATCCCTGACCTTCCCCGGGAGAGACAGGCCTGCTCACCTGGTGTAGTAGAGCCAGGTGAGGACGTAGGTGAGGAGGAAGCCAGCCCCCATGAGGGCCCCTCTGATCAGGGTGAAGACCAGGGGCCAGGAGCCCTGCTGCTCCTCGGTCACACATCTGCAGGGAGGGCTGCCTGGGGACGCAGGAGAAGGGTGACGTGTTGGTCAGGACTCAGTCCACCCACAGCCCAACACCTGACCAGGCGGCCGCCCCCACACCTGTCCTGCAACTCACTCTGCACAGAGAGGCTGAAGGAGACGCGCTGGGAGCCCAGCGGGTGCTGAGCCCGGCAGGTGAACTCCCCTCTGTCTCCCGCCCCCACATGGGGCAGCTCCAGGACTCCGGGTGCTGAGGGCTGGGGCGGGCTCAGGGGTCTCCCCTCCTGGGACCAGCTCAGTGTGGCAGGGGGGTTGCTGTCAGCCTCACAGACCAGGAGCAGGGACTGGCCCTCCAGGACAGGCAGGGATGTGTGGTTGCTCAGGGTCATCAGGGCTGGCAGAGGAACACAGAAGGTGGCTCGAGAGACAGGGACCCTGCTGGTCAGGCCCGGCTCCCAGGAAGAGGGCTGAGCTCTGAGGGTGGACAGGGGAGGAGTGGGCGGGCCCCTCAGGTGGAGATGCTTCAGGAATGGAGGCCGCCCGGCAGGGGAGAGGAGATGCAGGGACACAGGCAATTCCGGTGGCAGAAGGCCCAGGAGCACCGAGCACTTGATGATGGTGGAGAGGAGGCGGAGTCAGGGAGCCTGGTGCCTAGGGCCTCGCTGAGGGCATCGGGCTGTGCCCTGGGCGCCCAGAGAGCAGCTGGGAGCTGTGCACAGGGAGGCAGAGGGTCAGGGCCGAGACTAGAAGGATCCTGCTGGGCCGTGTGGGTTCGAAACCACAGAGACGAGACTGGAGGCGGGAGGCTGAGGAGCAGGCTGAGGCCAAGGGGCCCCGGGTCCAGGACAAGGCTGGATGGGCTCCGGGGCCCCGGGAAATCAGAAGAGGGAAGTGATGTGAGGAGTGAGGTTTCCTACAGTTGCTGACAGGGTGTGACTGGTGAGAAAGGGAAGCATCTAGAGTGAGTCAGACCACACCGGGGTTAAGTGGGGTCGAGAGGCACCAGCAAGAGGTGCCTACTGAGGCCTGGTCGGTGTCACTCAGTGGTTAGAGCGTTGGCCTGAGCACCAAAGGGTTGCAGGTTCAATTCCCAGTCAGGGGCACACACCTGAGTTGCAGGTTCCATCCCCAGGTGGGCTGTGTACAGGAGGCAACCAATTGATGTGTCTCTCACATCAATGTTTCTCTCTCTATCTCCCTCTCTCTCACATCAATGTCTCTCTCGCACATCAATGTTTCTCTCTCTCTCACACACACACACATCAATGTCTCTCACACACACACACACACACACACATCCATGTTTCTTTCTCTCTCTCTCTCCCCCCCTCCCTTCCACTCTAAAAATTAATGGAAAAAATATCCTCTCGTGATAATTTTTTAAAAAAAGAAAAAGAGGTGCCTACTTATGCAGATCTGTGGCTGGACTAAATTTGTGGGAGGCATCAGGACTGGTCAGGATGGGACGGGGACACCAGGGGGAGACCTGGGGAGGTGAGCATGCCCGGGAGACTGGGGAATGGGAACATGGCAGCCTCCTGGAGACAATGACCGGATCAGAGATGAAGGAGGACAGGCAGACCCACCCCGAGGGGCTGCAGGGCCAGGGAGGAGGGTCTCACCTCCAGGCCCTGAGCTGGCAGAGGCCCAGCCCACCCCTTCCCCAGAGAGGAGGGAAGGGCTCCTACCTGTGCAGTTTCCCTGGGAAAGCCTGACGGTCAGCAGAGGAGCGTCTGGGGAGGGAAAATGTGCTGACTCCAGGGGGGCATTTGCCCTTTGCCCCAGGGGCCCCTAAGCGGGAGGGCTGGGGTTTTACTTCAGCAAAATCCTCTGGGAAAGGAAACCCAGGACTGATCCTCCCTCTGGCCCCCTCGGCCCCGGGGGACCCAGCCCCCCCACCAACACTCACAAGAGACATTGAGCCGGATGGGGACCCTTCCCGTTTCACCTGACAGGTGAGGTTGGTGCCATGGTCCTGGGGCCTCGGGGTGAAGGTGAGCACCGAGGAGCGGAGGGTCTGGGGGTCCAGCGAGTCCACAGCAGCTCCCGCCCAGGAGAAGGTGAGAGGTCGTCCCCCTTCGCAGGCCCCTGGCAGGCTGCAGGCCAGCTGTGTGGGGCGGCCGGACTCCAGAGGCTCCCGTATCCGGATGTGGGGTTTCTCTGTCAGGGCTGCAGGGGAGAAAGGCAGGTGCCTGGGCTCCAGGGGTGGGGACTCAGAGCGGGACCCTGAGAGAGGCCCTGCCTCGGACTGAGCTCACCCAGGCCCTGTGTCCCTTCCCACCACCCAGGGCCCAAGGCCTGGATCAGGGAGTGTCCAGTGTCCTGTTCCCGCTCTAAGACGGGGTCCCCTGTCCCTGGTTTCTCTCCTGGGCCCCTACTGTACCTGCCACCTGCAAATCCAGCATCTTCTCTTTGTAATTATATTTCACAGAATCTCCTCTCTCCACTCGGAAGACATAGCGTCCTGAGTCGCTCCTCCTGGCGTCTCTGATTTGCAGGGAACAGTTGTTGGTCTTGGGGTCCGCGAGGAGGAAGCGGCCTCGGGTCTCTCTCTTCACTGTTTTATTCCGGTTGCTCGAGGCCACAGGAGCAGCATAGTCTGTGTTGTCCCAGTCCCGGTACCAGTAGGTGTAGAGTTCACTAGAGGAATTCCACAGACTCCACGGGTAGGAGAAGGAGCAGGGCACGTGGACACACAGACCCTCAAACACTGTCACCGATTCCTGCACTCGGAGCTCATAGCCTGGCAGCTGCTGCAGGGACCCTGGGAGGGGGCAGAGGCTCAGTGGCAGCCCCTGCTGATCCCCCACCTGCCCAGCCCCCCTCCCTCAGCCACTCACCCCCCCACAGCAGGGGCAGCAGCAGCAGGGGCACCATGTCTGCCTCTGGCAGGGCAGAGCGGGTCCGGGTCCCTGTGTCAGGGAGCGAAGTGCCCAGCTCTGGGGTGGGGCCTAGGACACCCCAACAGGAAGCCCTGGGGAGAGACTGTGGCCAGGCTGGAAGGGGAACTTGGCCTCCACAGGAGTTCGGGGGGTGGTGCCTGAGAAATCTTTCTGTCTCCCCTCCCCACGCCCGCCCTGACCCTGAAGGCAAATGTCCTGAGGCCCTGGGAGGCTGAGTGGCTTCTCCAGAAAGTGACCCCCTTACAGAGGATGTGTAAGTGGGGAGGGAGATCGCCCAGGGCCAGCACACTCAGAGCTGGTCCTGGGAACTCGGGGGGACCCGCCCTCCAGCTAGAACTGTCAAACATTCTGGAAAAAGATCACTTTAATATGTTTTTAGACCAAGTGGGAGCAAAAGAGAGAGGAATTTAGACCCAAGTCCAGTGGAGGGTGGAACCCAGGGGCAAAGCTGAGTGGTAAAGGCCTTGGCTCTGAGGGCTTCTTGGGGACGTGGGACGCACCTGTGTTGGCTCGAGGGTCTGAGTGTCTGAGGGACAGCGAGGGC